GGGCTGGATGAACACAGCAGGCCAAGCAGCATCATAGGAGCAGAGAGGCTGACGCTTCGGGCCTAGACCCTTCATCAGAAAAAGCTGAGGACGAGGGGGATTCTTTTTTGGTTCTTATTGCGTGGACGGGGTGTGAGGGATGAGGTGCGGGAGATGTGGGAGACACGGTTGAGGGCGTTCTCGACCACCGAGGAGGGGAAGTTACGGTCCTTGAAAAACGAGGACAACTGAGATATACGGGAATGGAATGCCTCATCCTGGGAGCAGATGCGGCGGAGGCGAAGGAATTGGGAATAGGGGATAGCATTTTTGCAGGAAGGTGGGTGGGAGGAGGAGTATTCTAGGTAGCTGTGGGAGTCGGTGGGCTTGAAATGAATATCGGTTTCTAGGTGGTTGCCTGATATGGAGACAGAGAGGTCCAGGAAGGGGAGAGAGGTGTTAGAGATGGTCCAGGTAAACTTAAGGTTGGGGTGGAAGGTGTTAGTGAAGTGTATGAACTGTTCGAGCTCCTCGTGGGAGCACGAGGCGGCGCCGATACAGTCATCAATGTAACGGAGGAAGAGGTGGGGTTTAGGGCCGGTGTAGGTACGGAAGAGGGATTGTTCCACGTAACCTACAAAGAGGCAGGCGTAGCTTGGGCCCATGCGGGTACCCATGGCTACCCCCTTTGTCTGTAGGAAGTGGGAGGAATTGAAAGAGAAGTTGTTGAGTGTGAGGACGAGTTCGGCTAAGCGGATGAGGGTGTCAGTGGAGGGGGACTGGTCGGGCCTGCGGGACAGGAAGAAGCGGAGGGCCTTAAGGCCATCTGCATGGGGAATGCAGGTGTAGAGGGACTGGACGTCCATGGTAAAGATGAGGTGTTGGGGACCGGGGAATTGGAAGTTCTGGAGGAGGTGGAGGGCGTGGGTGGTGTCACGGACATAGGTAGGGAGTTCCTGGACCAAGGGGGAGAAAATGGAGTCTAGATAGTTGGAGATCAGTTCGGTGGGGCAGGAGCAGGCGGAGACAATGGGTCGACCAGGGCATTCAGGCCTGCTGTGTTCATCCAGCCCTGCACCTTGTTGTCTCGGATTCTCCAGCATCTGCAGTTCCTACTAACCCCGGCCTAAAAATAGAATTCACCAGCTTCAAAATCTCCCCATCTCCAGCCTTATCCCATGTCTAACCCTGCCTCCTTGACCTGACACAACCTGTCCATCTTCTCTCCCACCTATCTGCCCCACCCAACTCACTGACCGATCTCCATCACTCCCTACCTGCACTCACCAATCACAATCCCACCTACCTTCCCTTGTCCCACCACTCCTCTATTTGTTTCCCGTTTCTGAAGGGTCCCAACCTGAAACGTCAATTTTCCTGTTCCTCTGCTTCCTGACCTGCTGTGTTCCTCCAGCTCCATACTGTGTTGTTACTTACTTGAGATTGGATAATGTGGGGAGTTCCTTGTGGCTGACTTCAGTCATTACTGAATCACGCACTGTAATCCCCTCTTTCAACAAGGATACCTGAATAACCAGCAGACCTGGAAACTCTGGCCATAGTTCTTCCTCTTTTGTGTAGTTCTGCTGTGCTGTTCCCATTTGTAACTTCACCAGTGCGCGTAAAATTTGAGATGTGATCTGCATGGCTCAGTGTAGTGCTATATTTGGTTACGAAGCCCTCCGAGAGCTATAGCATCATTTTAAAAGCTATACATTCTCCCATGATAGTCATTTTCATGCCACTTAGGCATGCAGCTGTTTTGTTTTCAAAGTTCTAGTTTAGTTTTCTTGGGGATAACACACTATGAAGTCATTTTTTAGAGAAAGGGCTGTAACTAATTAAAATTTAATTGTTGATGTCACTGTAAAGCTACTGTTGATTTATGAAAAGGAACCGGTACCACGAAAAGCTCCTACACCCCCGGCACAGCCGAACTTTCTGGCTAATGATACAGTAACACCAAATCATGGAAAAATCTGTTGGTTGCGATGCTAAGCATTGGGCCTCCTGAAGAAAATACTGTGAGAACCAGAAATCAGGAGGCTTTCGTTTTCATTTATGGAATATGGACATGTATTGGCCTTAAAGTATTGGTAAGCATCCTTCTGGACCCAGTACTGTGTGTTTTTGTACAACTGAATAGCTTTCTAGGCCTTTTCAGAGTGATTGCTGTGACTCTGATTTCACATGCAGCCAAAGCTGGGTAAGGATACCAGATTTCCTCTGCTGAGTGGATATCAGTGAACCGCATGTATCAATTTGGTAGCTCTATAGTCATCATTACTGATACTAGCTTTTTTTTAAAAACAAAAATATGTATTTAATGAACGGAATTTAAATTCCCCGAATGATCATAGAATCGTTACAGTGTGGAAACAGGCCCTTCGGCCCAGCAAGCCCACACTGACCCTCTGAGCATCCCACGCAGACCCATCCCCCTATAACCCACCTAATCTACACATCCCTGAACACTACGGGCAATTTTGAATGGCCAGTCCACCTGGCCTGCAAATCTTTGGACTGTGGTAGGAATCCGGAGCACCCGGAGGAAACCTGCTCACACGTGGGGAGAATGTGCAAACTCCACACAGACAGTTGGCCAAGGGTGGAATCGAACCTGGGTCCCTGGCACTATAAGGTAGCAGTCCTAACCACTGAGCCACCGTGCCGCCTCCAACATTTTATGGCAATAGAGGTTGCCAATATCCCACTCCATTACTGCATCAGATTTACACTTTTAACTATTCCAATACATTTTTGGCTAGTCTCCCACATTTAGCCCTCCATAAACTTGACGTCATGCAAAACTCTATTCCTAACTCTCAAAATCCAGTTCCCCCACTATCATTGTGTTTGATGACTAACACTGACAAAACAGTTAAGAAACATCTTGATTTTAAAATTCTCTTTCCTGTTTTCAAATCCCTCCATGGCCTTGCCAATGTTTACTTCTGTAATCTGCTCCAGTTCATATGCCTCCAATATTGATATCTTGAACATCCCCAATTTTAAATATTCTGTCAACATGCCTTCAGTTACCTAAGCCTGAAGCTCTGGAATACTTTCCCTAAACTTTTCCACCTTGCTATCTTTCTTTAAGGCACTTCTGAAAATGTATTTCTTTGAGTTAGCTCTTGGTCAACTGACTTAATATCTCAATAGAGCTCAATGTCACATTTTGGTTTATGATGTTCTTATAACTGTACTTAAAAGCTCCGAATAAATTGCTGCTGTGGTGGTGGATTATGACCTCAAAGTTCCATATTATTAGTTCAGTTCTCTGGATTACTGGTCCAGTAACATAGCCATTATGCTATTGTTCCTGTTCGTTAGAAAATGTTTTGGTAAATTCTTCTGATTCCCAGTAGAAAGCAAGAAGTGAGTGTCTTGCATTTACATCATGCATCCTTTTGGTCAGGCTTATGAGTTATTGATTTCAAAACATGCCTTGTAATTGGAAAAAGATTCAACCAATAGTGAAAGAACATTAGTAGATGGGGCATTTACTTGACTGGTGTGCATTTCTCTTAATAACCTGTCATGTGCTAATCATCAATCTTACAAGTCTGGGGATTGGGATCTAAGAGTGGGGCGTCAAGAATTGCAGATCCTGGAGATGATCAGCCTCAGATATTGTTGTTTGGATGATTTTTGGTCAGATTGGGAAACCAGTAAAGCCATATTGGAGAAAGAGAGACCAAAAGGCTAATGAATTTTTTTTAAGAAGTGCTTTTATGCGTGGGCTGGGTTACTTAGGGTCTTCAACAGCTGTTCAGCTGATTTGCTGCTGAGTAATTGTTTTTGGAAAGGAACCAGATGATGTTCTTGCTCCTTAATGTTACTGAAATCCACTATGACCAGCATCATTTTCAACTGGGTTATGGAATTTTATTGTTAGATTTGGCAGCTATCTGATCAACCTGGGAGAACTGTGAAACTAACATGACAAAAAAGACCTCCTGAGGGTCAATTTAAATTTCCCAGACTTAGATTGATAGATTTTTATTAGACAAGGGATAGGAAGCAACAATGAGTAAATGGAATTGAGGTATAAAGCAGCAATAATATAGTTGAATGATAAGCATGTTTAAAGAGCTCAATCACCAACCCTTGTCCCTATTGTCCTTTAACAATAATATTGTCAAGGAAGCAGAAAATGATGGAAACACTCAGCAAGGTGGCAATGGGGAGAAAATAAATAGTGTTTTTGATCCTGAACATCTTTCTTCAGAACTGGAGAGATGATAATGCTGAGCAGTTTTTAAACAAGTTTGGAGTCATGAGAAAGGGGAGAAGGTGCATACTTAGAGGGAGAGGCCCATAATAGTATAAAGGGAAAAGTGAATAGCCTTCTTTGCTGCCACTCTGAAGATTCGAGCTTGGATGTCTTTTCTTCCCTTCTTGTTTTTGAGGGTTGGGCCATGGATGTTCATTTGATTTGTCCGCGCTTATGTGCAAGATACTGCTGTGGTTTGCCATTGTCTCCTGCAAGAAAATTTGTAAATGTTCATAAAGCATCATTTGATTTGAATGCACACTGTATTTTTTTCCTCTGAAGCTTGGAAGCTAGAGGTTTTGCACTACAACAACTTGTATAGTGTCTTTAATATAGTGAAATGTCCTAAGGTGTTACACCAAAGCGTTATAAAACAAAGTATGACATTGAGCCAAAGAGATATTGGATCAGATGCCTAAACACCTAGTCAGAGGGGTATGCTTGAAGGAGCATCTTAAATGAGGAAAGTGAGATGAAGAGGTACAGGAAATTAATTGCTGAGTTTGGGACTGAGCAACTGAAAGCGCTACCACTGATGATGAAATGGTTAATCATGAGAATTCACAACAATTAGGGGAATGCAGATATCTCAGAAGATTGTCGATCTGGAGGAGATTATAAAGTTAAATTTACAAATAGTTAACATATTTATTTAAAATTTGTAAAATATAGTCAATGTCTGTGGTTTTAAGGAAAGTATGATGTTTTTCTTTTTAATTCGTATTTTTATTGTTTGTTTCAGATCGATGCCCTAAGTAAAAGAAGCAAAGAAGCAGAGGCAGCCTTTTTAAATGTTTACAAAAGATTAATTGATGTTCCAGGTATGTTACCAAATTTAGCTTCTGACATGGGTCAGTCCATTTCCTGCCACTTCTCTAGTTTTAGGAAAAGATCAGCAGGTCTGGCAGCATTTGTGACAAGAAATCAGAGTTAACATTTTAGGTCCAGTGGCCCTTCCTTAGAACTGACCAGACCCAAAACGTTAACTCTGATTTTTCTTCACAGATACTGCCAGACGGACTGAGCTTTTCCAGCAACTTGTGATTCTTTTTACAGCGTCCGGAGTTCTTTCGGTTTTGTTTAGTTTTAGAAATTTGATTTCTCAATTAGCTCAGACATAAATTTTGTGAATCTGAAACCATATTACAATGGACAGCCAGTATAAGTGAAAAAATATTGATTCACTATAACCAACTGCGGTCTCAGAGAAGACACAGCAGTTTGAGGCACGGAATGTTGAAGATAAACTGACATTGTAAGGGGAAAGGCATCTGCTTGGTCTTTAATGTGTCCACTAAATTCCACTATTGTTCCAGAAATATTTGATGCTGTCATTCTGAACATGGTGGAAGAGAGGTTCCTTTACCATGATTTCAATTTAAGGATTGGTGTAAATTGTTTTCTGTAGTTTAGCCGAAGTGCCATAAAGATTATAATCATTTTCAGAGCCCTTAAGAAAGTTTGCAGATATGTACTTATGTATGATCATATCTGTTAGAAACAGTTGAATTTCCCACACAATTCATGCAGAAATAGCAGGTTTTGTTGTCTACGCATTTTTGTGTTTTGTTTAATTTATTATTTTAGTTACAACAGTGTCAGTACAATTTACATTCCGCCTTATTCTATATTATTTCTATATTGTATAATCTTCACTGCTTTTTTTCCCCTATGTTGGCAAGATTGTGGGGTTTCATGTCTGTGACGTTATCTTGTGCACTGTGTTTATATACAGTTCAGATCCACTGAGACAAATTTCTCTATTCCTTGTTTTCCTCTGTACTCTTCCCAGCCAGTCTCAATGGGTCAGCAGGCAAACTGCTCAGTAAATCATAGCTGCTGTGGTTAGGGGTTCTCATCACGATAACTCACATTGCAAGCTTGTAACATAGCTTGAAATATAGGCACAACTGAATTAGTTCCAAGGTCTTTAGTGTAAAATACTGTTTTGGGCAGCATGTGACTGTGACTAGCTACAGTGCGACTATGTGACTCCATAAAAGCTTATTTCTCACTTGAAAATTTAAAAGAAATGCTGAATAATGAACGTATTTCTCATGGTTCCGACCAGTCGCTTATTTTATAAGCACAGCCATGTTGGCTAAGTAGTAGGCTCCTTTATCGCAGTCATAATTCTGGTATGAATATAAACTCCACCTGATTTCCCCTTAATGCAGCAGTTGAGTTAATTTAGTAGTTGTCTAATTACATTAGCTCAAAGATCCCACCTCTACTGGCCTCGAATACATCTGAAGATGTGATACCATTGGATGAGCTGTGTACAGATATACATGACAAGGAGCTATTCATCATCCTTGGGTGCTAGTGATGCAGTTTACCCATATTACAGTTTCTTCAGATAGCAGTAGAGGTCTTCCAGATGTTTACGTGCAATCTGCAATTGTATTGGCTTTTGAGAAGAATAAAATCTGTTGGCAATTTCAATGTCAAATATTATTGTCCATTTGTCTAGCTTAATTTTTATCAATATAAAATATTTTTAGAGAACAAAATAACACCACAGACATACAATATCATATTGTTGTAACTTTGCTTTTCGGCACAACATGCCTTTATTAGAACATGTCTGGGAAGTAGACAAAGTAGTACATTATGTAAAGTAAGAATCAAATGTATGTTCCGTTCCAAATGGTTAATACTCCGCGAACAGTAGTGTCCAAGAAACATCTAAGCCTTTTTAAGGATAGTGAATTTTGTCATCTTAATGTGACTTCCCCGTAATGTTGGTATAATTTTTCTTTCCTTCCCTATTCTGTGTTCATATTCTCATTCTTTTTCCCCTTACAATGTTCTACACTTCACCCTTTTTGTTCGCCTCTCTTCCTTTGTAGTTTCTTTATTTCCCAGAATGCATTTAGCATGCTTGCCTTCAATGCTCATACCTTTGAGTTTAAGAGTTGGGACAGCATGTTGAGGCTCTATATGACATTGGTGAGGCCTCTTCCGGAGTATTTTGTGCAGTTCTGGTCGCCCTGTTATAGGAAGGATATATTGAACTAGAGAGGTCTCAGCAAAGATTTACCGGATGTTGCCAGGAATGGTGTGTTTGAGTTATAAGGAGAGACTGGGACTTTTTTCATTGGAGCATAGGAGGTTGAGGGGTGACCTTATAGAGGTTTACAAAATCGTGAGAGGCATAGATAAGGTGAATGTCTTTTCTCTAAGGTGGGGGAGTTCAAAACTAGGGGTGATATTTTTAGGCTGAGAGGAGAAAGGTTTAAAAAGGGTATGAGGAGCAATTTTTTTTACACAGAGTGGTTAGTGTATGAAATGAACTGCCAAAGGAAGTGGTGGATGCAGGTACAGTTACAACATTTAAAAGACATTTGGTTAAGTATATGAATAGGAAAGGTTTGGAGAGATATGGACCAAATGCAGGCAGGTGGAAATAATTTAATTTGGGAATACGGTCAGCGTGAACTTGTTGGACCGAAGGGTGTTTTAATGCTGTATAACACCATGACTCTTTCAGTTCTGCTGCCAATTCCTTTAGATTGCAACACCTTTGTCTTCTATCTTTGTCTCTCTTTTCCTTTTGTCTATTTTTCTTTTTTTCCATTATACTCTTACTTTTCTATTTTTTTCCTCTTTCTGATTGCCATGGGTCCTTTTGTCTTGTGTGCCCCATTTCTCATTTGTTTCTCTTCAGTATATTCCCACATTTTCTCATTTTCTTGTTTCCTACTTTTCTTCATACATTTATAACTTTTCCTCTGTTTATTTAGTTGCATTTCACTTATTTTTTGCTTTACTTTAGACTTTCAATATCAGTGTGCCAATAGTTGCAATAATGTGGAGGTTCCGGTGTTGGACTGGGGTGGACAAGGCCAAAAATCACATGACACCATGGCTAGCATTTTAATCGATAGAAATCTGTGTCTCCTTTCTAACTGATTAAAGATTCAACAGGAGGCGGTCAGCTAGCCATTTTTAGGATTGTTACCTTTCTGCTTATAAATTGTGTTGGTATGCTTCCTTTTCCACACTACACTTGGGGATGGAGCAGACCTCTGAAAATTAGTGTTTTCAAATAAACCTGTTGGACTATAACCAATAGTTGCAAAGCAATGAAAGAATTAGATCAGATATTTTCAGTGGTTAGTGTTTAGATTTACTTGGAGCTGGCACATGTGATTTGACAATCACTTTAGTTCCACCCTTTCAAAGTATTACATAAAATGTTTGCTCATAGTTTGTGCAGATCAGATAGAGGAAAAAAAAGCCTGAAGTATGTTGTGTAATTCAAACACTTAACAATATCCAACATTCCACTCAAATGCTTCATCAAGGTTGTAACTGCTTCAGTACTTCAATTCTTGGATTTGACACTTAAATCAGTGCATCAAGTCTCACAGAAATCACTGACTGACTCACTGACATATAGACTTAAGGTGGAAAGGAACATAAGCATTTGTCATCCAAGGCAGTCAGGCTGTTTGAATGCAGTGGCCTATACTGCTGAAAGATCCCCACCCAAAGCATACAGGCTAATAAATCAGTTTAATTCATTTTGACCTATCTACACATTTGGGAAACTACCAAAAAGACATCTTGACACGTCTTTAAAAAAACTAGAACATAAGAACTAGGAGCAGGAGTAGGCCATCTGGCCCCTCGAGCCTGCCCTGCCATTCAATAAGATCATGGCTGATGTTTTTGAGACTCAGCTCCACTTACCCGCCCGCACACCATATCCCTTAATTCCTTTACTGTTCAAAAATTTATCTAGCCTTGCCTTAAAAACATTCAGCGAGGTAGCTTCAACCGCTTCACTGGGCAGGGAATTCCACAGATTCACAACCCTTTGGGTGAAAAAGTTCCTTCTGACCTCATCTGCTTCCCTTTACTTTGAGGCTATGCCCCCTAGTCCTAGTTTCACCTGCTAGTGGAAACAACCTCCCTGCCTCCACCTTACCTATTCCCTTCATAATCTGATATGTTTCTATAAGATCTCCCCTCATTCTTCTGAATTCCAATGAGTATAATCCCAGTCTACTCAGTCTCTCCTCATAATCCAACCCTCTCAACTCTGGAATCAACCGAGTGAATCTCCTCTGCACCTCCTCCAGTGCTGGTATATCCCTTCTCAAGTAAGGAGACCAAAACTGTACACAATACTCCAGGTGTGGCCTCACCAGGACCCTATACAGCTGCAGCATAGCCTCCCTGTTTTTAAACTCCATCCCTCTAGCAATGGTAGACAAAATTTCATTTGCCTTTTTAATTACCCGCTGCACCTGCAATCCTACTTTTAGCGATTCATGCACAAGGACACCCAAGTCCCTCTGCACAGCAGCATGCTGCAATTTTTACCATTTAAAACATAGTCCATTTTGCTGTTATTCCTACCAAAATGGATGACCTCACATTTACCAACATTGTACTCCATCTGCCAGACGTTTGCCCACTCACTTAGACTATCTATATCCCTCTGCAGACTTTCAGTGTCTTCTGCACACTTTGCTCTACCACTCACCTTAGTGTCATCTGCAAATTTTGACACAGCACACTTAGTCCCCAACTCCAAATCATCTATGTAAATTGTAAACAATTGCGGTCCCAACACTGATCCCTGAGGCACACCACTAGCCACTGACCGCCAACCAGAAAAACACCCATTTACCCCTACTCTTTGCTTTCTACTGGTCAACCAATCCTCTATCCATGCCAATACATTACCTGTAATACCATGCAACTTCATCTTATGTAGCAGCCTTTGGTGTGGCACCTTGTCAAATGCCTCCTGGAAATCCAGATACACCACATCCACAGGTTCCCCATTGTCCACCATGCAAGTAAT